GACCCCTGCAGCAGGCTTAATTAAACTGAGAAAATGCCACAATGTAAACTCAGTAAATTGCAGATTCAAATTTCCAGCTCTGCCATGGATATGTAAGATAAGATGGAGATGAATCCAGTCCAAGGCAACAGAAGCACAAGACATAAAGACAAGGAGGGGGTGATGTGTACTTCAGCAGGACCACAATCGTCCACTGACTGAACACAGGAAGGGAACAGCTCATAGCTGCGGTTGCCTCTTTAAAAGGAAGAGCCAGTGGAGACGGGGGCTTGTTGATGGAAAAGCCTAGACATGCAATCATTTTAACTTTCCTGGCCCGAGCTTCCTACCCCTCCCTCGAGATTCAGAGCTTTGTTTGTGAAAGCCGAGGTGAAGAGCATGTTCAAACTAGAGTGTTTCTTCAGCTTTCAAGCCCCGTCAGCATCATACGGTAAATCGTGCACACTGCTGAATATTAAACAGACAGGATGTCTTTTTCTGATGTGTTAAAATGCTAGAGGAAATAAAAGGAGGTAGATTGAGGTATAATCACAGGGTGTCGAATCACGTTGCAGCAAAGCACTGTTGACATGAGAGCCAAAACATTGGGCGTCCTTTTTTTCTTTTTTTTACCTATTACGACTCCAGCTCTGGGCTGGGATGGCAAATACCTCAGTCAGTGTTTGTGGAACAGCAACTTTATGGGACAACTTTATCAGTGGACAAGTCGCAGGTTGAGCTAAAGGCCATATACAGCGGGAAGATTTATGTTTGGCCTCGACACTCTGGGTTTTTAGAGCAAGAAAGCACAGCTGCAGCAGAGCCACCCCTCAGCAGCTGTAACTCATCTGCATCTGGATGAGAAATCATAGTTACAGTCCTCATGGTAGAAACCATGTCAGCTACGGCAAGTTACTCTGACTGAAAAGAAGGGCTTGTTCAGAACAAAATGTATGATTTTATAAGCTTACCATCAACTGGAAAATATCTTTTAGAAATTAGATGATGCTGCGACTGTCAGTTTAGGCTCTGTACTCATCTTTGTTTTTCTAAAAGAGATCAAGGATCCACTTTTAAATGACTCATCATTTCCATAAGTTCATTTTCTAACCCCTCCATTTCTGGCTGCCATAGCTTCTCCCCAAACGCAGTGTGTTATGAGTGCTTCCATATTAGCCAAGGAAAATCCATAAACTATCCCCTTTTTTTCGTTCCTCACATCTGCCAAGTACATCACAAAGTAGCTTTCCCAGGTTTTCTCCTGGTGGTTGGTGCGCGTCATGACTTATGAGAAAGGATGTCGGGTTATCTGGCCGATGTCTGGTGAATGATACTAAATGATAGCAGCAGTAGACACGTGAGTCATGTTGAAAAGATCCAGACTCCATGTTTTAAACCAGGAGAGGAAATCGTCTGCCCTGTTAGCTGACTAGTGGAAAGTACAGATCTAGAAGTAGAAAGGGAGCATGCCTTTTCACCGATGTCACAGTCAAACCGTGGCGTCTGTGGAAAAGTGCAGAACCTGCAACGAATTAGCTGAAAGGAGGGGAAAAAGTGACCCTCCCTCCCCCGACTTCCCCCCTCTTCCTCGGGGCTTGCGGTGGGGTAGTAAAGACCACTCTAAAAACCACACTTCTCTTCCAGTAAATTTCAAATTCTCCCAACACGCAGTGTTTGAAAACTCTCAAACCTCCGCAGGAAAAATTGCTCCCCAGCTCTGTGGCCAACAGCTCTGCCAGACATGCCTGGTTTTATGTCTCTGTATTGAAATGCACTGACGGTACACACAAATTACAGCAATACCTTTGAGATAACATTTACCTGAATGGAAATTCAACAGAAGCTTGTTTGAGACTTCAAGTCAAACTGAGTCAGTTAGAAAGAGTTTCTAGTTTGATCTTGTGAAACTGAATACAAGAATGTTTTATTTGAAAAATAAACATAAAGTTTTAATTCCAGATATTGAGATCCATTGTTCAAATAGTTCCAAGCAGATGAAGAAAACTGTTCCATGTGAAGTACTGCTTCTTATTTTGGAAGACCACCACCACAGTGTGGGATATAACTGGCTGCTGAGAGGCAGGAAATTTCATTTCTGCACTATGTGTGTTGTTAGTGACGTCAAATACCTTGTGGTCGATTGAACAGCGACATCTGAGAAAACATACCTTCAGGATGTGTTTGCTAGTTGGAGTGTTGATCCCCTGTGTGCACAGTTGGTTAGGAGAAACAATCTATGGGTGATGGCTGTTGTACCTCGAGGTCATTTGTACTAGCCTATCATGTCTGACTGAGTGTGCCTCTTTTTTAAATGTAACTGATGTAACTATGGAAAAAATACCAGATTAAGGTTGCCATCTTTAAAGTGGGGCTTCAGAGCTTTCTTCCATTACTAAATCTGGGATTTAAATAATCCCAGATAGTGAAACAATGCTAATGCTAATTCTTTTGCTAATGCTTTAAAAATATCTCAGTCATCAGCAAAGCAAACCAACTGTTAGCACATTACTTGGCTAATGTTGCTAACATTACCATTAGATTTTATTGTGTGGCCACAGGGAGGTTTTTTTAATAATCAGAATTGTGGAAAATTGAAGGCTGATTTGAAAACAAAGTAATTTAATAATTCTCTAAAGGATACAGATGAAAGTAGATTACAATGCTACTAATTTTAGAAACAGTAGCACCACTCACTGATTATATTGTACACTGTGTAATTTAATAATTTTTTAAGAAGTCTTTGATGCTAGTTGAAACATGCATGGTTAAACTGCAGTTTTATCATAGCCCTAACTATGCTCATAAACTCAAAGACTAGAGTTACGATACATAACCAATGTTGCCTTGACAGAGACAGGAGAGGATTACATTATACCAAAATACAGGATCAGTAAAGTAAAGTAAAGATGCTATTGCAAAAAAACCCTGGGATATTTTATATTTTTATTTTTAAAAATGCTGTTCTTTTGAACCACAAGAACACATAACATAAATGGCCTGTATTTGTATAGCGCTTTTCTAGTCCCTAAGAATCCCAAAATGCATCCAGTCATCCACCCATTCATACACTGGTGATGACAAGGTACATTGTAGCCACAGCCACCCTGGGGCGCACTGACAGAGGCGAGGCTGCCGGACACTGGCGCCACCAGGCTCTCTGACCACCACCAGTAGGCAACGGGTGAAGTGTCTTGCCCAAGGACACAACGACCGAGACTGTCCAAGCCGGGGCTCAAACCGGCAACCTTCCAATTACAAGGCAAACTCCCAACTCTTGAGCCACGATCGCAGCCATAGAGCTGCACCTGCTTTCATATTGTATATATGTAGTTCCAGCAGTCATTTGTGATTAAAATATATACTAAAGTAATATCAGCTGGTAGGAAAGAAAACAGCAGCAGTAGTACAGCATAAAGGGGGTCATTCCACACCATTGTCTGAGATATTACCCAAATCACTGCTTCCCATCCTTGTGAGATTAGATGTAATGAGCTTAAGAGTGTCTGATTACACGGTGCATTTGTACAGAATCCAAGTCCAATTTCAAAGGTCCCAATGTTGATGGTGGATTGTTGAAGAGTTAAGCAATACTCATATTCTCAAGCTATCATTGACTTGCGTTGATCTTGTAAGGAGAATCTCAACATATCTCACAGATATGTTGAGGTTCTCTTCATTTTGTCACAGAAGGTTCGGCTGCTGGACTGCACTGATAGCCATGACTGATCTATTATTAATGGAATTCCCGAAAATATGTTTTTGTTTTTAATTACTTGATTTGTCATTTTATTGAATTTTTTGACCATTTTTTATTAACCAAGTTGAAAATCTATAGTGATTTTTTACTGCCTTCAGATATTCATCTCTACATGACTTCTGAAAAATGTTACTTCACATAGAATCAAATGTTGGTATATATGGAACAATCTTTTTCTATTTGATCCTCAAATGTCATCATAGGTGTCAAATTTTCATACTGATCTGACTATAAGGAATATAGAGATCATAAAACTGTTTCATGTCAATACCATGAGATGTTCATTAAAGAGCATCTCAATGTGTACTTCACTTAATAAGCCAAGTTTTACTTTAGTTTATTGGCGTATTTAAGTCTTCCTGTACATCTGTCCTGACAAATACATGTGTGCAAAGTATATTGAGAACTACAGAAAAGCTGAAAGAATGCGTGAAGTGCAACTCTGATTTGCATTTGAGTCACCTCTTTGCAACTTCCTGCATCCTGCAGCCGGGTAACCTGACTTACCTGCTGTCTAAAGCTCAGAGCTGCCACCTGCTGTTTATATCAGGAACAGGTAAAGGTTTCAGAGCATCTGCAGACCTGAAAGACTTGGGCTCATGTTTACAGAACGTGCCAGATGTCTGTTGAAGCCAGACAAACCACATCTACATTTCTTTCTCTTTTTTCTGACCAGAACTCTTTTATGCTATTTATTAATATTTGGGGGGATTTTTAAGAATAACAGTTGGTATTTAGCTGGCAGCATGCTGCATTATTATTGAATAAACAGTTAACTCATAAAGCAAACTCTGAACTAAATTGAATAATTGGCTTCATGGGAGAAACTCATAGGTGGCTGCAGATTTTTCTCTTTTGAAAAAGAGTCAAATTTCTGAGACGCTGCTTCTGGAGGAAATGATCTCATGTCTAACTGCTGGAGACTTTACCCCGACAGCGAATCACGTTTTCCAGACCCTTTCCCCCCTCTTACAGTGTGTGTAGAATATGGTGGAAACCTTGTTTGTACATTTAGAAGTACTTTGTGTACACATTGAGCCATCCTGATCTTATGAGCAATGAATATCAGGGTAGGCCACAGCGTACGGTTAGGTGTTTCAAAACCAAGATCTTTTTTCCCCACTGCAATCTTCATTATTAAAATGCTTTGTTAAAAAAGGATATCTTCAATTCAGAAATTTCTCTACAGCGTCCTATTATAAAACAAGAGCTGTTCTTCAGGGGTTTTGTTTTGTATTCAACTGACACAAATTCCACCTTCCAGGAGATGACATGGACTGCACGGCAGACGGCCAGGTGTACACAAACAGGGACATCTGGAAGCCAGAGCCATGCCGGATCTGTGTTTGTGACAACGGGCAGGTCCTGTGCGATGAAATCCAGTGTGACGATCTGAGTAACTGTGAGAAGATGTACATCCCAGATGGCGAGTGCTGCCCCGTGTGTCAGACTGACTCATCAAGCAGCGGTGGGACGGGGAGTTTTGGTGAGCCTGAACCATTTGCCTGCGTTTGTGGAATTGAAGAAGAATTTTTTTTATTTAATCTGGTTGGTAGAAGACACCGTGATTCAAAGAAAGGCCTTCTCAGGTCTTTATCACGCTTTAACACAAATTTAATCCCAAAGAGGGGGCAAGAAATTAAACAGCATCGATTAAATAAACCTTCCCTACCATGTAGTTCAAAGCTTTCAGAAATAAAAGCTATAGCAGCAGCTTGTTTGGGTTTTTTAGTTTTGACAGGCTGCCAAATAATCTACTGAGATGAATTACTGCTGCCAGCAGCCTGCTGCACATCAGTAGCCTCACACTAAGAATGACTGACAACCGATTAATTGTGCTACTCGACTATTTTGCTTTTGACTGACCTGCGTGTTTATCCCATAATGATTAATGAATTTCTTTGGAGCTGTTTCAGTATATGCTGCCTACTGAGTTGTTACACTGATGATTTGTCTGCATATTCCTTACATGTTTCTTCCTTACAATTTTTCTATGCTTCCTCCTATAGATGGGGGTAGAATTTACAAGGTAGGCCAGTTTTGTGATCCTAGACTTTATATTCGCTTTGACTTCCACTGTCATGTCGTGTGAGTCTGAAAGTTGTTGTCACTTCTTATTGTTTGCGCAGGGTCAGAAGGGAGAACCTGGAGATGTTCCAGTTGTGAGTGTTTCCTACATTTAAACCTGCTTAACTGACAATTTTAAGTCCAAAAAACGTAGCAGGATGAAACTGATGTGTTTGATGGTTTCCCTGCAGGTGACTGGTATCAGAGGCCGCCCTGGACCTATGGTGAGCATCTTTTTTTCTTTCTTTACCGGCAGGATTTACCAAAAAGAACATTTCTAATGTTCATCCACCACAGTTGACACTAGATGGCATGAGAGGACAGCCGCATCCTTCATAACTTCACCTTAAAAGGAGGTCTACACAGCAGGATAGGCCTCCAGTCAGCTGGGTCACGGTGGCATTTCAAGCTGTGCCAAGCGTGCTCGTTGTTTTGATGTTACTGCACAAGTGTCAGGGTCAGATTTTTTTATTGATTCTTCTTGTCTATTCTGACAGGGACCTCCCGGCTCACCAGGAGAAAGAGGACCACACGGACCCAAAGGAAGGCCTGTAGGTCACATCAACAAGCATTCACAGACAACTTAAGAACAGAATATAAAAAGCATGAAGATAGAAAATCTGACCTTTTCCTGTTACCAGTCAGAGCATCACATCCTTCCTCTCGTTGTTTTCTGGCAGGACTTTTAGAGAACACGTGGGTTTGCACAAAATAACAAACCACAGCAGTATTTATTACCTTAATCAAGACAACGCCATCACTTTATTGTGTCTTTCTCCATTAGACGACGGCAACACTAACAATATTTATCATCTTGCATCATATGCAAGCTATAAATACGGACGTCATGTCTGTATTATCGGTTTGAAACACCCCCTTCGCTATAATTCACATGACATTTGAGCTTTTTGATTACTGGGGTCATGAGAATGGATCCTCACTAACTCACTCAGCTTAAAGCCCATTCGGTTCAAGGACAAGTGACTAACGGTCAAAAAGTGATGTAATGTGGAAATTTGATCTATGATGTGCTTAGCAAGCAAAGACGTGGCAGCATGAGGAATGAATGTGCTCTGCTTGGTGGAGATTCAGCAGAGTTGAGGGCAGCATTTTGCTGGTGATTTATTAATACATAGCCAATGGTTTTCCTGTTGCACACGCTTTACAGCTCGCAGTTCATAAACAAATGAAAATTAAGTTTAGGTACATCTGTTTTATTATTTTCTTATTGAAGTCAGTGACATGCTCTAGAACACCTTCTGGCTTTACTGACTAATTGATTGATCTTCATTTCCATCTTTACAATTAAATCCATATAAGAGCTGAAACCCACTGCTGAAAGGAATAAATCAATGTGTGTGTAAATCAGTGTGGGCAGTTTTAAAAATACTTTTTAAACAGTAAATTAAACTCTCTCTCGTTTACTCTCCAGGGAATACGGGGCCCTCAGGGCTTTGACGGAGAGCCTGGCATACCAGGTCAGCCTGGTGAACCAGGACCTCCAGGACATCCATCACACCCAGGGGTGAGCCAATAAACAGAAACACTAGAGTTTAAACTGCAGGCCTTACATGGTAAGCTAACCTGCAGTGTTTTACCTGCAGGGCCTGGGAGCCCAGATGGCTGGAGTGACTGACTCAAAAACAGGACCCATGGCCATGTTGAGTGGCTCCAGGGTAAGAGCATGACAGCACTAATATGGACCGACCTTAACTGGATGTTTAATTAAATCCTTCAGCTGAAAAGCACCAACCTGACGCACCTATTTATCTCAAAAAATTAGCTTTGTTCCTGAGTGGGTAACTTTTTTTCCCCACTTGAAGCTGAAACTTTGGCACCAGTCTAGAACAGGTGTTCTCATTTCTTGGAGTTTCCCTAATACGTCTAGTACTTCATTAAATAAAGCTCCAAGCTACAGTAAAGCTCCTATGTTTTGCTAATTATGGATAAAATATAATTAAATAATGGTGTTATATTTTCATTAACTCTATTACTTTGCAGTTCCACATCTTCTGGGAGTGCCTTCGTCTTTTCTGTCTCACTCTGTATCTCCCTCTTGTCCAGTCTTTGGCAGTTTCTAAAAGAAAAATGAAGAGAGCCACTTTTGAAATTTCTTTTCACTTTGGGTTTGCAGCCTGTCCAAACAATGTGACCTGAAGGAATTAAGATATGAAAAGATGCATGTGTGTGCAGTAAAACTTTGTCATTGAATTATGAAATAGTGCCTCTTCAAAGTCATAAAAAGGTTTAACTAAATAAACCTTCTTATAGCAAAAATGTGATCATTAGTCACTTTATTCAGCGTTTCCAGACATGCATATGGTGCATATTTTATTAAGCACTTTGACTGTTCACCGTTGCATTTACGCCAATACTGAAAGGTCAGAGTTCACGTATCGTCTTTGTATCATTTAAAGTTCGTCCGATGTCAGTTTGTCGTTTTGCTGTAATGTTCCACTTTGATCCCAATAATAGGAGAAGACAACAAGCTAATGCTACTGTTACTTACTTGTGGATTAGGGCTAATTTATGGTGATGCATTGGGGTCAGTTTCCTTCTGCAGCAACGACATCAAGAGAAGCAGTAGGGATGCCATTCACTTCCATAACGTCCACTATGGATTCTGTCTTATTTGCAGAAAGAATAAAGTTATGAGACCAACCATAACAGCAAGATACTGAACCCCAAGTTGCTCTGCGTTCGTTGCAGTATGACTGTGTGAATGTCAGATAGTAAGCACATGGAAAAGAAGCACTTGTATCAATGCCTGAATGAGGCATGTTGTATGAAGTGCTTTGAGTAGAAAAACATTCCATAAGAAGCAATCCATTTATTAACAACACAAACACAAACAGAAGCGCACTTTGATCTTCACGTACGCTTACCTCCAGACTGGCTTCAACAAATACAACACTAAGTAGACCTGTCTGCAACGCGATGGTGGAGCTTTGATTTACTTCACATTTCGAGTGCAGTTGACTAGTCAGCAGCTGATTAAACATGTTAAACATTGATGATGATGATGATGATGAAACATGGTGAGAACTGGAGCTGGTCCTCTCTGAGTCTTCATGTCAGCAGCATGTTGCGCCCCCCCGTTTTCCCACAGTGCATCCTGGTGTTCTCTCTTCCTCACCAGCAGCACCTCCTGTTTCCTCCTCCTGTGCAGGCGCCTCCGCTGCTTCTGTGTCTCCTGATCCTGAATGTTTAAAATCCGGTAATGCACCCTGCCTCGGGTTGTTTCCAGTACTCTCTCGCCCCACTCTCTGCAGGTGTTCACCACCCCCTCCCAGGAGCAGCCCACAAGCTTTGCCGAAACAATCTTGCTCTTATCAACCTCGCTCCCTTTTCCCCGCTTCCACTGCTCTGCTTACTAACCCCACACCTCCAGGTCTGTTGTTCGCTTCCTCAGTGAAGGGCTCAGGGAAGAAATCCCAGCCTCCTGGAACATCCCATGCCTGCGTGTGACCAAACAGGAAGTCAGTTGGCGGGAATCTCATTTGAGCATGCTCTCTGTGGACTGTCTGCGCCTTCACTCTGTGAAAAAGATTTTTTTTAAAAAGTCCAAATATGTGGAGCAAATTGAACTGGGCATTCTTCTAAATATTGTTTTTAGCTAAGCTTTTTAATAACTGCAGATATTTTTAGAAAACGTATGAATCGATGGCCGAAGGAGTAAAACCTCCTGACTAGAAAGCCTCCCAGTAATTTCAAATGGTTTTGAGATGAGCCCCTGTTCTTTTTTGTGATACAAGTTATAATTTATTATCTAATTATAATCTTTTATCTCATTTTATTACCTAATTCATATGTAAGTTAATAAATAAAGTACTACTTCCCAAAACATTATGCTAATTAAACATAAAGATTACAACTTTATGAGATTTCACACATTTTAGTGTTTCCTGAACAGTTAATGAAACACAAATCTATTTCATTATTTTATATCTTTGTTATTTTTTATTGTATTTCTTAACACTTAATATGTCTGTTAGATATTTGTCTTGTTTAACTTTCATTTTCTTAAGTGTTGCAAATACCTAAATAAATAATGACAAATAAAAATGAGTGTGTGCTTGTGTCTCCTAATTTGCATTTGGTCATTTAGATGAGTTAGCAGGATATATATGTAAAGGATATTTAGATCTTTACAGCAGCATGATCTCGTTATAGAAACAGCTACTGTTTCTGTGCACACCCACAGAGCGTCTACTATCACATAGGTGTCATAAGTATCTCTGTGAATGGAAGTAATTAACTTGATTTTTAACTGCTGCAACAAAAAAGACGAACATAAATAGATATATTAACTTAATCGTTTTTGAATAAAACACATTTAACTGATCTGACGTCGTCTTTGTTTCAGGGAGAGAACGGAGCAAGAGGACCTCCTGGGCCGAATGGATCACCTGTAAGTTTGCAACATTTTTATTAATACTGGAGTGGCATTTTATTATTTAGTTGCTCTTCCTGTTTTGAATGTTTTATCCTTTATTTTAAGGGTCAAGCTGGACCACAAGGATCTCCTGGAGATGTTGGTGATCCTGGACATATGGTACTCTAACTTCAAGCATGCATTTTCTCTGTTCCTATATTTTCATTTACTTAATGTTATTTGATTTTTTGTTTTTGGTAAGCTGCTCATTAGAGAAAATTTTGCTGTCAGAATGATGGGCTGTCGCTGAGTGTTTGCAATCTGTGTTTGTCAGGGTTCACCGGGCCAGAGAGGACCTGAGGGCCCTCCGGGGAAGGCAGGCGAAGATGTAAGTTAGCTTTGAGATGTTTTTCTGCTTCGACTTGTGAAACTTTAGAGAATTTAAAAAAAAACAAAAAACTATTGTACTTTATTACGGAAAATCCAAATTTTGATAATTTCAGTAGAAGGGGGCAAGGTGAGTGGCCGCCATTTATACAAAAGGTGGCTTAAAAGAAAGAGGAAAGGAAATAAACTGACAATGAAAGAGAATGAACTGAGAATCTGCAGGAAGACTGATAAGGATCATTTGGAATTGAATCATGCAAAGTGCACAAATTAAAATGTGGAGCTGGAAATGAATAATATGGTTCCCCTGTAAAGGTATACATGCTTTGATAAATTACAAAATAAAAAAATCTGTCACCTTAGATGTTTATAGGTCTTATACGGTACACCTCAAGCACGTTAGAAGCATAGAAAGACGTAACATAGAAAGACGTTTTACAGCCTAATGTGAAAATGTCATTTCCCCACACAGGGAGAATCAGGCAAAGCGGGAAATAGTGGAGAAGTTGGATTCCCTGGATCAGCAGTAAGCTTTAAATTAATAAAAAATAAATCCTGTGCTTTTTAAAATTATTATTATTAGAAAAAACTAACAATGTTCTACTGTGGTTTTAGGGGCCTAGAGGATTTCCTGGAACACCTGGGCCTCCAGGCCTGAAGGGTCACAGAGTGAGTAATCCTTGTTAGAAGCACTTTAAAACAAGTACCAGTGGTATGATGATGAAGTGAACTGACTTCACTTTGCTTTAAACTCTTCTGTCATTCACTTTCTCCATGTTTCTTTAAGAGTAAAGTCAGTGTGCTTAGCCCAGCTCTGCATACACAACATAAAACAGCATGTGAGTCTTTTTCTATCTTATTAACAGGGCCACAGTGGACCTTTTGGACCAAAAGGTGAAACAGGAGCTGTTGGATCCAAGGTATAACTGATGTCAAATCGACGGTCTGTCAGTTTGTGCCCCTGGTGGATTAGATGGTTCCCATTAAACACTTTGTTTTGTGTCTTTTTGCAGGGCGCCACAGGGCCCAGCGGTCCAATGGGAGCACCTGGACCTATGGTAAGCTATTCTTAAAGTTTCTGTTGCTTGTTTTTACAGTCTCCACAGAGCCAGTAAATGCTCAGAAACCAAGTGACAGTAACAAATTGCCTGGAGCAGCCCCGTGCAGATGATGCAGTTTATTATTCTTTTGAGCAGGCGTGGACTTCAGTGTCGGCTGCTTTTGGATTCTGCTCTCATTTTGAATCAACTAAACATGTATTCACTTTCCTGTAACTAAAGCTTTTCACCTTAAACCTTTGCATAAATAAAAAGTAGGTGTAATTTATCACTCTCTGTGGATAACAGGGTCCTTCAGGGATGCCGGGCGAGAGAGGACGCCCTGGACCAGGTGGTATAGCGGTAAGGACGATGACACCATCTTTGTGTGTGTATATATGTGTGTATATATGTGTGTGTATAGATATAGATAGATAGGCCTACTCTATGACTTTTGAACCAAACTGATGTTTACCTTGCAGGGTAAGCGTGGTCCTCCTGGTAATATCGGGAAATCTGGTCCGATGGTAAGTCACAATATGCTGTGTTTTACTTTTGAGAGTTTACTGTGCACCAAAAAGACTATCATGACTTTTTGGAAATCCAAATTAGATACTTTGGTTAAACTGAGGAAAATATATTTGGGTTGCAATCATCAGTCTTATTTTAAACATATGTTTATGTGTTACTCCAAATAAACATATGTGAACATGAGCAATAACGGACACACAGATAGAAAAGTAGTGATACTTGCATGGTTGCTGTGCCCTGTTGTATGTCAGCAACCTTTATGTTTGCATATTTTTAGATGTGATGAAGTTACAGTAACATCCTACTGTCAATACTCTTTCTTAACAGGGCCCCTTGGGTCTCAGTGGATCGCCTGGATATCCAGGGGCCCCAGGTATGAAGGTAAGTAACAAAGAACATAGCTATTTGCTTTTTTATGCTTTCAAAGCCAAACATATCACTTTTATTGTTTATATTAATTGTTCTTGGCTTTTGTTTTCCACAGGGACAGCCTGGCCCCACAGGTGTCCGAGGTCCAGAGGGGGGACAAGGACAGAGAGGAGAGACCGGTCATCAGGGGAGACCTGGCCCCATTGGCATCGGGGTTAATTTCTTATTTTGTCCATACTTACACGCCACACTTTCACTTTTGCGCATTGATTTAATTTTCTAATTAGAGAGTTTCTATGTTCACAGGGGCCCATGGGAACAGATGGAGGCCCAGGTTCCAAAGGACCAGTTGTAAGTTAACGCTTATTTACTCCAGGCATGTTATTATTAAGACTAAGTGAAGTCACAAAAAGAAACACGTTTTAATTTCTTACAGGGTACTGTTGGTCCACAAGGTTCAGGCGGCCATCTTGGGCCCCGTGGCCCACCAGGACCTCAGGGAAGCACTGGTCAACCTGGTATCAAAGGACAACTGGTAAAAGGCCTCAGAGTTTGAACTGAATTCTTGCTTTTAACTGCCAGAGATTTTGTAAATGCTTAATGAACAGTAAGCTATCGCTTTATGTGAAGGAGACTCACATTTTTGCATTTCTGTGTCAAAGGGAGATGTTGGTGTTGGGGGATTTAAAGGAGAAGCTGGACCTAAAGGGGAACCGGTAAGATTCAGATCAAATAGTCAAACTGATGCAGATCGCATTATAAATCCAGACTTGCCTCTTATTCAGTCTTCTTGTTCCATGTGTTGATTTCCTAGGGTCCGCCTGGTTCCCAGGGAGTGATCGGACCTCAAGGTGAGGAAGGAAAGCGAGGACTACGTGGAGATCCCGGCTCTCTTGGGCCTCCTGGTCCTGTCGGTGAAAGAGTAAGCCTGGATTCTGCTTCCTACTCTAACACTCACCTTTCACGTAGTTCCAGGGCAGGAGTCAGCTCAGTAATTTGTTCACACAACTTTGCAGTTCAGGAAGTCAGAATTAAAGGCACATTCAATTATAGTTTCTGGGATTCTTCACTTTACTGATGTGGTTTAATATGCACATATTCAATCATCACTTCTCTTTCAGGGATCTCCTGGAAACAGAGGATTCCCTGGTGCAGATGGGCTGCCGGGACCGAAGGTACAGTTAGTTACCATAAATCATGCTATATATACATAATGATTACATTTGTGCTCTGAACAATTTATTTACAGGTTAACCTTTTGTTTACCGCTTGTTTATTTGCTTTAATCAGCAATTTTGTTTTGTCAAAAGGGTGCTCAAGGAGATCGTGGAATATCAGGCCCACCGGGACCGAAAGGTTCTCTAGGAGACCTAGGGCGCACAGGAGAACCTGGTCTACCAGGTGCAAGGGTAACACAAGAACTTGGCATTTTCCCTTTTGAGCTACAGTATTTCCGAAAGTTTCTCTTTATTGCTCTAGCTTCCTATCCTTATGTTTTAAAACTTTTTCCACAGGGTCTTACTGGGACCCCCGGAGTTCAAGGTGCAGAGGGAAAACCAGGACCACTGGTAATTCTGAGTATTTGTATATTTTAATGTGTTTGAAGCACACGTACTGGAGTTTTCTTTAAAATTATGATAAATAACCAGTGTTGGTTTGTGTCATTTCAAGGGTGCCCCAGGTGAAGATGGTCGCCCCGGTCCTACAGGGCCCATTGGAAACAGAGGGCCTGCAGGAACCATGGGAGTCCCAGGCCCCAAGGGCTTCAGTGTAAGGCTGCAGCGTCTCTGAAGCTGTGCCCTAATAGTCAAGTCAGTCTAGTAACGTCATGTTCGGTCTCTAATTCAATATATTTTACTCTTAAAGGGTGACCCAGGAAAGACGGGGGAACAGGGATCTGCAGGAGTGCCAGGTCAAAGAGTGAGTACTATTTTGAGCGCACAAGTGCTGAAGTACGGCGACAAAAAGTGCTCTAGGATTAGTTTTAGACTTATTACAGTCAAAAAGTTGTACTTGGGGCCTTATACACTTACCTTTTTGATTATATGGCAGAAAGGGAAGGACCCCTAAATAACTTTCAGTGAGTAGCAGGATGATATGTCAGGATTAATGATAAACAGTTAAAAATTTTGTTGTTTTCAGGAATTGATAAAAAATATATATATATTTGGATTTATTAGCACATGAGCACAGAAGTCATTATTAATGCAATCAACCTAAACTGAACGCAGGCTGCTAGGAGATGAAGGAGTGGATCCGCATCAGGTGTGTAGTCGGCAGGATTTCTAAGTGTGACTTTGTCCACAGGGTCCTCCAGGAAAAGATGGAGAGGTTGGGCCTGCAGGACCCCCTGGTCCACCTGTAAGT